TAATCAGTATGCCTAAACAGCAAGCCCCTTTTAAAAGGTTTGTAGGAAAGAGGGGGACAGGGACTTGTTAAAAAAAATTGTAGGTAAATATCAACAACTGTTAGCTTCCTTCAAGTGAAGATTGATATGGTTAGATTCTACATTTGCAGACTTAAAATTGTATTCACCAAGTCTTCAATCCTACCTACAGAAGAGCTTGTGTCTTTCATTAGATAAATAATCAGCATTCTTCAAGAACTACCTCATCATCTTCAGAGGACTGTCAGTCATTAAAATTATGAAACGACTTCTAAAAGTCTCTTAGCTAGTTTCCAAAAGTAGTATCTATCTTCTCCTTATATGAAATACAACAAGGCAGTGATAAAGATGACTTTTGTCATGACTTCTAGATTATATTGATAGAAAGTGGGATTCAATGGTCAAACAGGAAGATCTACCACAGACCTGATAAACTCCTATATTATTGATGCCTTGACTGTTTAATACCAATTGCATGGAGAGTAAAAAATTTCTTCTCGTGGCTTTTATGAAGCAAGCATTTATTACTTTTTTTTATAAGCTTCTGCATAGGTATTAAAACATCTTCACAGTTCTCCTGGCAGAAATTAGCTATTCTTTCTGTTTTCTTTCTGTTTTGATTTATACAGTCTTTCTTTTTCATTAACATCAGCTAATATGAAGGAGATATGAAACATGGCTAAGATACGATGACATTTTGCTAAAAAAGAAGGAAGCTACTCAGGGCCTCTCAGATCTTCTTCAGCACAAAGAAGCTCTTAAGATGTTTCCAAACAAATGGGTATCAGTGAATACGTGCAGCTGCAGTTAGTGATTTTCACAGAGTTTAAAAGCATCCTCCTTTCTGTATAAACATTTATTTTACAAACTATATGTCTGTATGTAGGCTAGAGCTCAAAGGAACATCTTATAAAGTGACAGAAGAGCTAAAACTTGGGAACATCTACACCAAGATTTTCTGCTTGAATTAGGTGGATGTATGTACTTAATCCTCTACTGACCTGATGGGGTTCATGCTTCAGAGGTATATCTGAAGTAAAGTTACCTAAAGTAGCTTACAATTAAAAGAAATTTAGAATTAATTTAGAACGCCACACTGAATGATCTACTGTGTTGAGGAGCGGAAGGAAGAGGGCAACTTACTTCTGCTCCCAAGTGAGGAATGAAATCAACTGCTCAACATCCTGTCTGTACTCAAACACCAACTTCTGTCTTGCTACAGTGCCTCAAAGATCTTCCCACAGAAACATGACTTTGCTAGCATTTCAGGCTGTTCAACTGCATTTTACTTCAGCTGAATGTAATTTGAAGAACATCTGCACCATCAACAACCAGACTGCCTGGTTGTTTGGAGCTCTGCTGTTTAGAACCATTTATGCAAAGACACCTATAGTCTTTCAATGTAGATCAAGCTCGCCTGTGGAATGCAAAATTCTAAATATCTTTCATGGTTATTTGACTGGTAGGTAGGCCTAGAGTGTCTGTGTCATCTAAACCAAATTATAGTCTTGAATATTATTACCTACAATAAGTTGCCTAAAAGAAATCGTAATAATTTCTGCTGTTTTCTGGTCATACTAACTGTGCTGATGCCAAACTGCACAAAAGCATGCTTTCTTTTTTCCTAGAAGGAAAAAAATGCATATCTATAGGATCGTATATATGCAGACTGCAACCTGCATAGCCCTTCATGACATTCTCAAAAATAGATCATACTGACACTTAGAATTTTTTCCAACTATTGAAACAATTTCATCTGCTACAAAGTGAACTAATTCCTTCTCATCAACCAAAAAGAAAAAGCGCTAGTATTATTTATATACTGTAGGCAATTCATACTTCCTCTTTTTCACTGCTTTACTCTAAACTAAATTACACAACATATTGCACTTAGTCTTCTCCTCTTGCCCTTCTCTTACATACCTCTGTATCCTTCTCAACAGTTAGTTTCCAAAACTGGATATTGTACACAGTATGAACATCAGCTTATACACTGAAATCTCTAATCAGCTTTCTAGTTGAACTTCTAAATGATGTTTTAATGAAATTCAACTTTTCTGTAATTAACTACAAAATGTGATTGAGATGTACAATGCTGAATGCTTCCTTCTCCCACAGTGACTCAGTAAACTCCACGTTTTATGTTTATTTGATAAACTTTTTTTCTCAAGCAGTATTTCTGTTTATTTTCATTGACAGGGTAGGATACATACAAATGGAAAGAAATGCTCAATGTCCTCGCTTGTGAAGCGAAGTATTACCGATGATGAGAGAACTGAATGCAGATGAAGCTTACAAAGTTCATACAGCTCGAGCTGATACCTCAACTGGGAAAAAAAAAAAAAAAAAAAAAACTAACAACAAAAGCCCTAAACTTATCCTGATAGTTAAGTTAAGTTATCTAGTTTATCTAGATAACTATCTAGATAAAATTCAGATATTAATCCCAAAACCCCACAATGCTATCAGCGCAGAGTCTCATTTCAGTGTAAAGCCACACTTTCAGCCCTGCAGAAAAATCATCCATTTGATAGCTTTCTGCAATAACACAAGAGACATTCTGTCTGTGATGGAGCTAGAAGCGACAAACAACAAGGAAGATGCCAATGCAGTCCAGAACACAGTCAAACAGCTAACTCTCACAAGAAATGGACACCATTCAAAATGCATTTTACATGATGTATTAAGCCACCCTAATATGAAAACTCTTTTTGCTATACTATGCTCTGTGAATGTATTATACTATATTTCTACCTCAAATGCTTGCCTGCTATTAATGTGATTTCCTGTTAAAAGTATACGCTAATTATGTTTTTGCATGCTAATGAGCCCCAAACCTTTTGCACTCTTTGTTAGCCTACTTTATTAATGTCATATATTAGAAATGCAATGCAAACCTTTAGAGTGACAGACTCACAGAGAGAGCACCAGAATTTCTTTATAAAAACCTGATTACAAAGAAAAGAGACAGTTGATCTACAAAGTGAACAAACACCAAAGAAATCCTAAACTGTAGAAATTAAACTATCACAAGAAAGAACATTATTATTTTAGCTATCACTATAGGTGAAAATTTTAGCCAAGTTCTCTAAATCTTTTAATTAAACTTCATTTTATTTCAGAAAAGGTTAAACCATTTTTCCAACTGACACTGTAATTCTTCAGCCCTATATTGTCCTTTTGCATTCCTCCTGCATTACAAAGGATTCAGAAACCATGGCACTTTAAGAGTCAGCTATAGAAGACTGGACTGAACATACAGCCTTACTTGGAAAATTTATTTACCTTTGAAGATTCATTCATGCAATTACACGTTTTGCAAGATCTCTTAACAAATACTCAGCAGTAAACGGTAAGAGTATCCACTTCGAAAGACAAAACCAAGTATATATACTTCTAATGAGGGTTGGCCAAAGAAGCCATGGATACCCCATCCTTGGTGATGTTCAAGGCCCTCTTGGATGGGGCCTCGGGCCGCTTGATCTACTGGGTGGCAACCCAGTTCACGGCAGGGGATTGGAACTGGATGTGCTTTAAGGTCCCTTCTAATCTAAGCCATTCTATGACTGCAATTCCAGAAAGAAGCATTTCTTGCATTAACAGTCCTTGAGAACTAGCAGATGCTTTCTGACTTCGTTCCATCTTTCAAAGTGAGTGATAAAAAGGGCACTTTGCAGTCACTTAAGCTTCTATGGTACACGCAACAGAAATACACTGAATTTATTTTGTAGATTACAATAATCTATTAGAACATTCTTCTTGTATGTTATGGTCAGGGAAGAAAGCTCAAAGATTTTCATCATTTTTGTAAATGGCAAGGAAGGAAAATCATCATTCAACACAAAACACAATCCATCCTTTCTGAAGGGTGCACAGGTGCAAAACCAAAACAGAGTAGCATAGAAGCACGCACATGGTGCAAAACAACATGCATAATTATCAAAGGGAAAATAAAACACCTCAAGGACAAAATTTGGTTGAAAATGAGGTCTTTTGAATTAGTCTTGATTTTGACACTTAGATAGTAATTACTAAAAATATACTTATTGCTTTCAGTCAGTCTCAAGCAACATTTAATTCTATTTTTCCACTGTACTTCCATTAATAATCAAAAATTAAACGTATAAAAAGTATGTAGAAATTTTCCAAGAATGCATGTATGTACGCATATATGTCATTTATCAAGACAGCAAAACAAATTCTGCATCTACCTTAATTACTAAAAATCCCCTGTGACTGTAACAAGAATGTGTGCTGCTAGCATAAATGCCCATCATGTTAGGACCAACTGTAGAGTGCGCTATCACTCATGTTAAGGAGATGTAAATTTTTCCACTTCTTCCCTTTCTTCCACAGCAGTTAGTATACTTGTGCACATTAGCAATCAAATTTTCAGCCAGTACTAAAGTTAACTGGAGAAAAAAAAAAAACCAAAAGTTTAACTAAACGTCAAGTCTTGCTCAGAGCTCATGAGATTTAGGTTTATTTTAGAGGAAGATATCATACTAGGATGATGACCGCTAGTCTTCCAGTCTTACATGAGGAAAAAAAAAATCATATGCTTATACACTCAAAATAAGTAGTGGAAAAATAAATAAATATCAGCTGTACGTAAAGATAAGTGGCAATAACATAATTACTTAGTAATCTACTAATTTATGTGGTTCAGTCTTCAAAAAAGATGAATGACCTTGTATATACTCTTTCTCCGCAGAAATACCAGCATGCACAATCTCTTTCCTCTGATGAATGTTCTTTGTGCCCTTTACTGTAAATACTCCCTTGATGTTAGACTATGATCAGGAGAAGGTAGAAAACATGGTTTTAATAATACGTGCCTGTATTGAACTCTAACAACTTGGCAAGCATATTATCATTTAAGCAGTAAGTGAACTTCATCATAATACTACTGATACAATTACAAAACTATTCACAATAACATGAAGTTTTTCTTTGCTTAGCAATAAGAGCCAGATACTCACAAAGAAGGGTCCTGGACCAGATCTTTAAGGTTTATCCCACTACGATCCTCGGCAAGGTTCCTGAAGCAACTGTCACTCACTAAAAAAAATAGAAATAAAATTAAAACAAAACAAAACAAAACAGAGAAACAAAAGAGGTGGAAATTTAAAAATGAAATATGGCTGTATTGATTAGTTAATAAAGTTTTTTGGTGTGAAGTGTAATTTGACATTCATATATAAGGTCTGATTTTCAGTGACATATCAACAAATTTTAAGGTAAATCATCTCAAGGGAAAGCGATAAACAATCTATCACAATATATAAAGAAATAAATGGTTACAAGCTGGTGCCCTTAACACTTCTACATCGCTGGGTAAAGTATAACTCAACCATGACACTGTATGTGCAGATATTGATAGAGAATCCTTAATCATGCACAGCTCTGTATTATCAGGCTAATCAGGAGTGAGTTGCTATGTTTTTAATCAACATATGAAGTTCAATAGCTATATTTACTGGAAAAAAAAATTAAAGAAATTGCAAAAAAATTAAAAGATATTAATGTATTTTGGTTTTCTTCACTATATTAATGTGATGATTATGCTCTGAAACTCCTTGATGTTTGCTAATTATCTCAGCACGGGTATTCTTTTCAAACATGTACCCACTTCTCTCAATGGGACAGTCAAATCTGTGAAGTAGAAATAAAGTTGAAGCACAAGCACTGTAATAAATCAACATCAGTTCAAAGAAATTATAGGTTTTTATGACTAAACCAAGACTTTCTGAAAAACAGCGGTTGGGATGAGACAAAAATCAATGTAAAGAACAGTTTCCCCTAGTTATCAAGATAACCTGCCAGACAGAGTAAAGCTCATAAGAAATGCAATACTGCTCACTTTCTGATTTAGAACACAGCCTCGCTTATAGTTGATGAAAGGGAATGCATTTAAAACCATCTGCAAAAGCATGTGTTCCTACTGCTCTCTAAATGCGAGAGACTCTCTCTCTGATTTACATCTATGAGTATTCATGTGCACCATCAACACTGTAAAAAATGCACATCGTTCCTAAAATATGTTCTTTATTTGCAGAGTAAAATACACACTGTGATAGCCCTACCCCCACTGCCTACACACCTCAGCAGCCCACAGTCTGTCAGGATGATGGTAAAGACAGAAGCTGGAGAAAAAGCCTCCAGAAGGGGCTGGGGTAGTTGGCACTTGCTCCCAGATACAACTCTCTCCCAGCTAACAGTATATGGCAGTAACTTCAAGGTTTACCCTCTCCGCACTTCAACACTGTAACAACCTGTGGTTCCAGATAGCACCTCAGGACACTCCATACCAAAGCCATGAAGAGGCTCTTGTCTTTGAGGCAGCTGCCACACATCTTTGGTCAAACAGTAGCTACTGATCCAGTAGCACGTCCGGGACCCCTGGCTCATTCCTCAGAGGCAATCACTACACTAAAATGAAATTTAACTGCAGTAAGCCAGCAAGAGTGATGCAGGGGAATGAAGCTCCCCTTGAACACCTTGGGCCTTCAGAAACCTTTAATTTCCTCGTCCACTACTGTATTAAAAAAAATCTCAAACTGCTGAGTTAAAGGAGCAAGTCAGAGATCAGCAGAATCACAAACAGCCTATACTGTAAATTTTACGTGACAAAAACAGTCCTATAAGCTAAGAAGTCTAGCTTGTATTTGTCTCTTGTCAAGTTCAGCAATGAAAGGAAGCACAATATTCTGACTACTGGTTCAATCCTACATGACTGATGTTCTGATGTGTCTTTACACATCACAATTAACAATGGTGGTCAATAATGTTTTTTCACTACTGACAATTCAAGCATTTCTAAAGCATTAAAGATTTAATCTAAATGTGATGCCTTTTTTCCTACTGTTTCCTCCATATCCCCTCATTGAAAAAAATCAACTAAAGACACATGAAAATTGATCTAAAAGTTTCCTTAAAAGTGAAAAAAGCAAAAACATAAAATTATTTCATCAGTAAAAGTACCCGTTGTTATATAATTCAAGCACTTCATAAAAAAAGATGTGTTTGAAATAAACATTTAAAATGAGAGTCTAGACTTGACAATGGCTGTCCTTTTCTTACTGATCTATGCTTAATTATTGTATTACATATAATACCATTTTTATGAATGAAGATGAAAACCTTTAAACTTCCCTTCTGTTGGCAAAGTTAGTTGAAAAGACTAACTCAACATGAATAAAGTATATGCACACTTCATATACAGGTCTCAACTGCATCTCCTCTTTTTCTTTTTTTTTGTTGTAGTAGAGTCAGAACACCAAGAAGCTGCTAATTTGCAAGCAAGCTCTTTCTCAGCCTACCAGGCAGAACCAAAAAACATTGATGCCTCAGCTAATTTCAGAGGTATCAAACCCACTTCCAAGAATCAAGAAGTTTGGGCATTTTGGTTAACATTCACCAAAATAAAATTTCTGAAAAACAACATTTGGCTATAATCTCTAGTTAAAATCACTGGCACTGACAGCAACAGGAAAGTTTGCCGTGCATGAAATAACTCAGCAGAACGGTGCTGGACTCACAGCTCTCACAGGAATGCTTTCGAGCACTTCACCAATCTGCATACAAGCACAGCCACACACTCTTGCAAGCTCTAGCACGGAGGTAATCCAAGTATTCACAGTAAACATGGGATTGAAACAATCAACCAAAATGGTTAATGCTTTTCTCAGTGCTTAGGAAACTATAAATTAACACTACGTCTGTTTTTAAAATGCTACACTGATGGAAATGCCAGCTTAAAGAAGACAGCAGGCAAAACTGTGTTTGATGGTATAGCACAAAGGTCAGAATGATATGATCAAGAGTGCTTAAAGGTCCGAGGGGGAAAAAAAAAGGCAGGAGGAAACCACATCACTGCTACAAATTGTACCACATACACAAAGGGCACATCTAGTTCCTTGTGTTTAAAGAGCAATCGGAGAGAATTTTGAATGCAACATTTGAATGAACATACAGCCCAAGATTTTATTGCCTTGTTTCAAAATTTAAATTTTTACTTTTTAAGTGCCAAAGTTTACAAAAGTGATTACTTTTTGCAGTTTTCATTTCTGATTTAAGTGGTTCTGTCCAAACTTTTTTTTTTTTTTGTATGAACAAGATTTAAATTTGCCTTTATAAGCACCATTTGAAGAAATCACTTTTCACTATTAAAGTTGTACATATGGTTGACTTCAAAACAAAACGAAAGACTGTTTCTTCTGTTTTGGTTTTAGAATGTGAAAAGGCAACTGTTTTTTTTCCTCAGATGTCAAGATATCTTTCCTTAAAATCCTATTCCCCTGCAAATACAGAATTCCTGCCCTATTGGCATAACTTAAAAACGTAAAGATGGATGATCCTACCATTAAAATACATTTAAGGCATCTCAACTGCCCAATGAACAGTTCACCAGAGATTAATATCCTGCCTGAACCATTTTTTCCCTGCTACTGTCATTTTTTTCAAGTGACTGCATGTCAAACTGAAAACATACACAAAAACAAATGGCGTATTAGAGAAATTTTGTAGCATCTTCACCAGATCTATTGCAGAAGATAGAAAATTAATTAGAAGAGCATACTACTTGCATCTCTGCACACAAATCTTTGTGACATTTTTATAGAATGAAAGAAACTGCTTTCTGCCTGCAGATTGCAAATGCTTGTAACTGCTACAAAAATATGTTGTTTGTGAGTGGCAAAAAATAACGCACACTGGTTTCCTGAGAACTCACTATTGGCTAGTGGGAACCCTTATTGTAAGAAACAACATGAATTATAGAATCATTTGAGTTGGAAGAGACCCTTGAAGATCAGCTAGCCCAACTCCCATGCAATAAACAGAGACACCTACAACTAGATCAGGGTGCTCAGAGCCTGGTTCAGCCAGACCCTGAGTGTCTCTAAGGATGGAACATCCACCACCTCTCTGGGAAACCTACGCCAGTGCCTTACCATCCTTTACTGCATCATAGAATGGTTTAGATTGGAAGGGACCTTTAACATGATCTAGTTTCAATCCCCCTGCTATAGGCAGGGGTATCACCCATTAGACCTGGTTGCTCAAAGCTCCATCCAGCCTGGCTTTGAATGCCTCCAGAGCAGAAGGCATCCACAATCTCTCTAGACAACCTGTTCCAGTCTCAGCACCCTCACAGTGAAGAATTTCTTCCTATTATCTAGTCTAAGTCTACCTTCTTCCATTTTAAACCCTTGTCCTGTCACTACATGCCGTTATAGAAAGTCCCTCCCCAGCTTTCCTACAGGCTCCCTTCAGGTACTGCAAGGCCACTATGAAGTCCCCCCACAACTTCTCTAGGCTGAAGTTCTTCTTGGCCCACTGCTCAAGTCTGTCTACGTCTCTATGGACAGCATTCTTTTCTCAGGCATGTTGACTACACCACACAGTTTGGTGTCATCCACAAAATTGCTAAGGGTGCACTCAATCCCACAGCTGATGTCATAAATGACTCTCATCACTGATCTCCACTCAGACATTAAGCCACCACCACTCCCTGGGTACAACCAATTTCTAGCATGTGATAGGAAAACAAAGGAAGATAAATGCCACTTTCACAAGCCATGAGATGAACTTTGCAAATGAAAGATATTACACTGCTGAAATTAGCTTGTTTGAAATACAAAAGCCCCAGCTTAGTGATGTTAATTTTCCCTGGGCATTCAGAACTAGTTGTATTATCAAGATTAGATACAATTTCAACTCATATATTATAATTCACTCCCAAATATAAATTCTCAGTCGACAAGAGCAAGAATAAAGTCATTTTAGCTTGGTTAATTGGATTCACCAAAATCTACTCAATGCAAATGTTCTCTGCCACATCAGCAAACACCACTACAAGATATTTATTCATATCCTCTGACCAGATAGAGGTTGGCAGAGCAGATCAACTATCAGCAATCTGTCATTTCACAGATTTTAAACACCAAAGTACTGTAATGATCAGCTGGACTCCCTGCACACATCTGGCATTCACACCTGATAAATGTTCCTGGCATGTGTTTTTCCACAGTTATTGTCATACACTGACATACAGAAAA